ATTGCTGTAATCGTTTAATCTTTCCAGTATTGGCCAGTTATTAGACTAATTGGCCCGTCTTTCTCATTGTCAGCACCACAGTCATTCAAAATAAGCAGTGTCGCCCCCTACGCTTCCTGTAGAGTATTGCTGTCTGTCAGAATGAATGCATTTGTCATATGAGCATTGTAGTTCATTATAGAGCAGGAGTGGCAAACTCCAGTCCCGGAGGGCAAGAGTCCTGCTCAGTTTGGTCGTTGTCCTACTCAAACACGCAGGTTTCAACTCGGCAGCTGATTGCCAAGTTTAGTGGGTGTGTTAAGAGCAGAAAAATCACCAAACTCTGCTGGACACTGGACCACCAGGACCACATTTCCCCACCTCTGTCATGGATCCAAGGCTGTTCAGTGGAACAGGATTGTCACCTGCTAGGAAAGATGAATCCTCTGCGAATACAAAAAGGATCAGTCGCACTTGTGCAGGAGACCTTAATGTCCAGGTGCTCATGAAGGTTGTACTCAGTTATTCATAGGCAGTAAATTGTGAACTATTCTGTTCATGCGGTGTGTCCAACATCACATTTACCCACTGCACAAGCCATGTGCTCAAACGTAGTCGTGTGAGCTGCGACGCAGGTTAAGTTTTAGTGTTAAAGGTAGTTGTAGTCCATCAGGTAACAAGGGCCTAGTAATGTACAACATGCCCAAGAGTTCAGGCTTTAATTTCGTTTCTAAAGCCAGCAATGATTTAAGATTTTACCTGTTCACTGCTGAAAAAAGTAAGTCCTCCTAAATGCCTCTCTGGATTTGGAAACCTTTGCCAGCTTTAGTCTATATACACTATTAAAATACAAATTCATACGAATTTATACAAATTAAAATTGCATATTAAATAATGGTGAGTGTTACTTTTTATGTAAAACTATTTCCCTGACGCTACTTGAGTACCTTAGTTGTTATTTGAGTGCTACAGTAGTTTTTTTTAGTGCTAAGGAAACATTCTGCATTTGCAGCTTCTATAGTACCAGAGCTACAGGCTCAACAACTGTATATACAGCCCTGAAAGCACTTTCGCTTTTAATAAACAAGGCATTGATTTATTTTTAGTGATTGACGTCACCGTCAACTACAACCCCATGTCCAAAAAAGTTGGGACGCTGTGCAAAATGTAAATTAAAAACAAAATACATTTATGCATTTATCATTTAAACCCTATATTTAATTGAAAATATTACAAAGACAACAAATCAGATGTTGAAACTAAAATTTTATTGTTTTATGAAAAATATTTGCCCATTTTAAATGTAAGCTTCTCAAGGAAACAGTGGTGTGATCCACAGCGCTGGTTTATTTTGGTGCTGTTGAGCGCGGTATTACACTCCAGAGAGATTCCTTTTTCCCCTCAGTGACGTCGCTGTCCTCTCCCTAACTCCACTCTCCTTGGCAGGTCCTGAACTGACCGCGATCTGCGCCGTATCCCTGCTGGACACGGCCGTTTTGGCATGCGGCCTTCTGGGCTCAGCGAGTCACACTAATGCTTGTAATCTGGCGCTGAATCCACCCCTCCCAAGGAGTAACCGCACGTTTTTTTTTTCTTTTCTTTTTTTTTCTCACTGCTGTGGTCCGTCTTGCTGTCTTTCTCCTGTAAGGTTCAGCCCGTCATCACAGCAGGAGTCTCAAGAAACTGTAATTTCTGAAGAAGATATTGCAGTTTTTTCCTTTTGAATACGAACGCAGCCATAGACTTTGTAGTTCTTCTGCTGTATACATGGACTAATGTTCTAAAACATTGAAGTTAATGTTGAAATGCTCTGAGCTCGGTCTGATTTCTTTAGGGAAGCCACGTTTAATTACCACCGAGCCGCCCCGAGACTTGGTGCCGGAGCAAACGAGTTTTTAATTAAAGCCTTTGAATTCCCAGAGACATGAAAGTGGAGGGAATGTGACTTTGAATATGAATTTGTCGTTCATTAAGTTGTCCATTCGGGCCGTGCGAGGCTTTATCGCACGACTGTTTCCTTTTCGACTAAGGAAATCTCAGCCTAACCTGGCCTGCTTGTTTAGTGTTCTGCCAAATATTTTCTCTTACATTAAAAAAGAAAGAAAGACTTTATTAATCTGAAAGGACATTACGGAGATGTAGCCATGTACAATAAATGTGCTTATGAATGCAAAATATATCAGGGTGTTTTTAAAAGTGCAAATTAATATTACAGTCAGACGTGTATCGACTTTTCCAAATGTGATGGGCAATTATGAATGTTATTCATATTTACGCCCTTGTGAAATCATTCATGCTGCATCTTGTCTCTTCTGAAAGGGCCTGTAGGACTCTTCTGTGGCTGCCATCGGCCAGTTAGAATTCAGCAGGTATTTAGCGTTTGCCAAATGTTATGTATCTTAAATATTGTGTCTATAAATGGACCCTTAAGCAGTTCTTTGTAATTTTAGAAGAATTAGCCTTTGGTGGACTCAGTTCTAATAGTGATGCACAATGATATCAGAATCGTATCAGTAGCAGCAGATATTTAAAATCAAATTATCGGCATCGGACTGATCTACACGTTACACCTGCAGGAGCTATTATGACGTCCCATTCTAAATCCATAGGCATTAATATGGTTTTGGTCCCCCCTTTGCAGCTATAACACTCATCCGGGAAGCTTTCTACAAGATTTTGGAAGTGTTTCTGTGGGAATTTTTGGGCATGATGTGACATTCCAGACAGATATGTTTGTTTTTTAGCCTGTTGTCGTGTTTGTAATGTTGGTTTATGACCACATTTTGTTGACTGTCTGATGCTTTTTCTACCAGCTACTTAACTGTAGTGTAGTACAGTGTAGTGGTTTACTCTCTAAACTGATGTCTCGTTTTTTGTGGACCACCAGTGTAAAGTAAGTCTTTTTAAGTGTCGTAATTACACTTTGACAGCGCTGCTGTTCTCGTGCTGTAGCTGCTCTTTACTTTCAGTTTTGAATGCTACGTTTGTGCTAACACTGTTTTGGAACCACAAGGCGTTACATGATAGTTTTGTTTACAAGAGGTCGCAAGTGAAAAATGCGGCGGTAATGTGTTCTGTACATATTTTTGGGAGCGTTACTCGCTGTAAAAAGCAGAAGTAGACTTTAGCGTAATAGCTGCTAGCTTGGTTTTTACATGCCAGGGTTCAGACAGCCTGTATTTAGCTCAAACATGGCGGACAGAATGTTTTCACATTCCAGTGCAAATGAACATCACATTTGGATCTGTGTTAAAGTCTGAAACTGCGCCTCACTGCCACAGGCTCTGGATGATGCCCATTTACATCACCTCTACAGCAGTAGCACAAACAAAGAACCTAAAATTTGGGTCTAGATCAGGGTTAACATGGCCGATATCTGATCTATTAAAATATGCCTAGGTCAACTTTGGGATTTGATCAGTGGCATCACCTTGTCACTGTCGCACCTGGTGTGGAACTTCCCAGATCTTGTTGCTGTTTTGCTTGTTTTTGTTAAATAGCTCATTTTTATTTAATTAGCCGTTCTCTTCACATTAGAGATCTTATATTATTAAATAATTGTACAGTCAACAGCTGTATACAGCCGAATTATATAACAGTTGGGCCCTAATGGGGACAGACAAACAGAAAAATTGTTGACCATTGTGTTGAGGTGTAGGCAAGGCCTCCAGTGCTAATTGACACATACCTTGCATTAGAAGTCTTGTGTTGAATTAAAGGCACCGTCTCTCTACAGCTGGACAATCTTTGTGTTCCTTGAACTGCAGCGTAGGCAGCTATTAGATCGGCTCGCCGGGCTGTTTTATCATAGCTGCATTAGTTACGTTTGTGACCTATTTTGATTGTCTTGCTGTGTTGACAGAAGCTTCGTGTCAAGTGGATTTGTCAAGAACAAACTACAAATCCCACTTGCGGGGCTAATAATCCATTCAAAACCATTATGAGCGGTCTTGGTGCACCGAGGGGAGCGTTCTGCAGATTTCTTAACTGTGTTTTGTGCTGCACTTATTCACTTTCCCATGACGTTCCTCTATGCCAGGCATGCGAGTTATTCAGAGCTCGGAGCGAGTTTAAATGCTTGCTTTTGTTCCCGCATTGGCGTCGGTCCCAGAGCTCGGCCTGCTGTGTCTGTTGTGCAGTGTGTGCGAGAGACAGCGTTTCTCACACTGATGGGGTCACGCCGGAGTCTGGAAGTGTCTGTTCATGAGCTCATTATGATGTACTGCTGAACTGAATGGTGCAGCAGCAGAGCAGATCTCTCTATTGGGTTTTAAAGGAAGAGCCTCACCAATGCTAACGTGGCTAACTGGGAATGGGGGCCAGTAGCTGCCAGTTAGCAAGATGTCAGCATAGTGTATAGATGTCAGCAGTGCAAGTTCACTAAACTATTCTATTCAAACGGCACAGAAGACATAATGATGTTATACTAGTTATATTATATGCTGTATTTCTACACTCAATGTCCATTTTATCAGGTCCACTTACCATATAGGAGCACCTTGTAGTTCTACAATTATAGAATTACATGTAGTGCTGAGAATTATCCACCACCCAAATAGTACCTGCTCTGTGGTGGTCCTGACCATTTGAAGAACAGGGTAAAAGGGGGCTAACAAAGTGTGCAGAGAAACAGATGGACTACAGTCTGTAACTGTAGCACTACAAAGTGCACCTATATAGTAAGTGGAGCTGATAAAATGGACATTAAGTGTAGAGACAAGGAGGTGGTTCAATGTTACGGCTGATCTGTGTGTGTATAGATATTCCAAAATCCCTTTAAGTCCTGTAAAATTTCCATGACTTACACCTGTCGATACAGAATGTTAATCATTTGCAAATATAATTCATTACATACTGTAAATTGTTTTGCAAAATAACAAGAAGCTCCTAACCTTCGACTGGTCCAGACAGTGACTAGTCTGTTTATCTGGATAGCGGTTTTAGCCCTTGTTGTATTATGAGCACAAACAAGTCAGTTCTGGTTCTCACACTTTGTTTCTTTATTCCCCTCTGTTCTCTAGACTTTAAGAAGACTCCGCCCCCGGTTCCTCCACGCTCCGCCTCCAAGCCCCTCATAGCGGTGACGGTTCAGAGCAGCACTGAGTCCGCTCAGGACACGTACCTAGACAGCCAGGACCAGCGCAGCGAGGCCAACAGCCAATCAGGACGCAGCAACTCCTCTGACAGCGTCACCAGCTCCAGGACGGGGAGTCTGGCCAAGGGTGCTAAACGGCCGCCACTGCTGCCCCAGGCTCCGGTTCCGGCCCCCCGGGAGCCTCCCGTGCCCCTGCCCAGTGCAAGGGTCAGCAGCCCCCCTCCTCTGACCCCACTGCCTGTCCCAGAGGCCAAAACTGTAAGCATCACTCTCACACCAGACGAGCCCCAAGCTCTGCCCAAGAGGAAACTCTCCTCCATCGGCATCCAGGTGTGTGCGTGTTATGATGTGTATCTAACACCGTGCAGTCATAGATAGTTGGAATAATGGAGATGTGCTGAAATAATCCTGAATAATCTTATTAATATTCATTAATAATGATTAATCACATTTATCTTACTTGCACAATTTGATCCTTTAATAAAGATTACCATGCAAAAAGCATTTATTATAACTGTGAGCAGACAAAATTAGTTTCACTGCATATGAAATTAAGATGAATGCAGTGTGCGTATATATACACACCCAGTCAGTGGACCCAACTCCTTGTAGCCCCTCTCTCTCTCAGGTTGCTATGTTACATTTTGTTTCGAGGGTAACTGGAGTTTTACGCTTCGCTATCGCTGTTGTTTGTTTGCTGCTCGCTGCTTAGCAACGTTAGCTGACTAAACTATTCTGTTGAACCAGGACAGACGGCAGTTAGCCTGCTAATGTTACACATGCTGTATCAGAGCAACGGTGGCTGCATGTTCCACCCAATGAGTACGTCTAAGACCGTCCACTGCAGGCTACTGAAGACGGCCTCCTGTGCTAACGTTACCGATATTACTGATAACTCTGCATTAGTCATGTGTTTTGCCTGTACATTACACTTCGGTGATAAACAAACTCACAGCATTGCAGTTAGAAATAACTTTGCCATTTAAAGCTGTGGAAGGAGCTTCAAATCATGTAGTCACTACAGTCACGTAGTCATAGCAACAGCAAGCAGCTGGGCTTCAGGGTGGAACTGTGAATGGTTTGAAGGGTAAAAAAAGAAAAATAGAAAATTGGTTTTAACAGCGTTTAAAAGGATTTGTTCATTTTGATGCCACGAGTTGCAACTGTTAAGCCAAATCTGTTATACATACAGATATGTGTGTGTGTGTGTGTGTGTGTGTGTGTGTGTGTGTGTGTGTGTATTTTTTACATGTATTATTCAGATTTATTCTCTGGTAATTTGTTTTATTTATTATTAATTTAAAATTGTTTTTGTTATTAACTTGAAATCACAATTTACCTTGTTTATTTATTATTTATTTTATTTTTTTATGTCCATGCTTGCATTCAGCATGATTCCTCATATATAAGAATCATTTAAAAGGCAGCATTATTATTTCCTGTTATTCTTAACTAAAGGTTAGTGACCTTTCCCTGAGTTTAAGACGTCTTCTGAGTTTTGAGAACATCGCTGTGCACCAGCATGTGGGGGGAAAAAAAGAGTATTAATAATATTCAATGCTTCTAATACACGTACAGCTTCACTCAGATATGAGTCACTGTGCAGAAGAAAAATGCATGGCTTCTCGTTTACTTTGACTTGCAACAAATTGACATCTCACATCTGCATTATGGGTATTTTAGGCTTTTGGAGTTGTAAAATCAAATCTGCACACTGGTTTGATACTAATTGGGCCGAAACAGTCGTATAGAGTCGTTGTGCAGGTTCTCTCCTGACAGCAGTGGCGTGCTGGGTTCTGTATTAAAGCCTGTGAGCTGCCTATAATGAGCTCATACGGTACACAGTCTCAGTCATTAGGTTGGTGCAGGATGGGCTGACAGTGTGCATGTCGTTCTCCAGGGAGGAGACGGTGCATACTTAAAAAGGATGAAGTGTCAGCAAAGTTTTTTGTTTTTGTCACTAGTTTATTAACCCTCTTAGCATCAGATTTGGGAATCTGGCACTTTATATTGACACTCAGGCTGTTTCAGACACTGCTGAAAGTCATGAATCAGGTGTAGGAGTAGCATTTTTCAGCCTCGTCTCTGTCTGCTGCATCTGTAACTTGCAGTCGATTACCACAAATGGATCATTTAAAACAGGAAAGAGCTGAAAACCTGACTCAGAGCACACTTATAGAAGTCAATGAGCAGGTGATTCAGCTTCTGCCCACTGGCTTCTAAGATTCAAATCATCAGGTTTTCTATTCTTTTACTAAGTACAGAGAAACACGTCTGGTCTCCTGAATGCTACAGATACGGCTGAAACGTGGTAGACTACCCCTTTAAACTACAGATTGGTCTAATTATTGTTGACTAATTTCCATTTGCTGGCTGTTCTGTGTCAGGTGGACTGTGTGCAGCCGGTGCTGAGAGAGGAGCAGACCCCCACCACCAGGTTCCAGTCCATAGGCGTGCAGGTGGAGGACGGCAGGCCGTGAGTTCAGTCTTTAACCCCTTTTCCTTTTTGTCATTTAGGCTGACACGCTCATCCCAAGCGATTTGCATAAGCCTACTACAGGGACAGTCCCCCTGGGGCAAATTGGGCTTAAGTGCCTCCCTCCAGGGCTCAACAGCAGCAGCCGTCAGCCGGAAGAAACCCATGATGGCTTGATTCAAAGCCAAGTTCTCCCTCACTGAGTTACCGTTACCCCTCACTCTGTCCTGCTAATGCTCCTTGAAACCTGTTGCTGCTCTGAGCTTTGCTTAGAGATCCCTGCTCAGGGTTTCCACATCAGGTCTTTTGTGTTCTCTTTTACCAAAATGGTCGGTCATACAGAGATCCTAAGAATTGAGAGCTGAGCAGGAATATAAATATGACCGGCAGCATTTCAAGGTTCTCCCAGTTGACATGTTCATTATGTTCTCTTTAAAGAAACACTGCAGCATTTTTCAACCAAATCCTGTTTTATTTTGCTCTGAAAAAGAGCAGCCCTTTGACTCTGGAGATGCATGCCATAGAAACCATTGGTCAGGGTCAGATGTAACACAGTAGCTTCTTTTAGAAGCGTGTTTTGAGTTTCTGTCACAGTTGACTGTACTGCACAGAAGCTTTACAAGCTTTTGCAACATCAACACTTCACGTTACAGTCCTATAAAGCTGTTGCGCAGGTGGAGGAGCTGAGCTTTCTGGTATGCTTTGTGTGTTGGACTTCAAACTGCAGAGCCAGTACACAGTATTTTGTATTGCCTGCCCATTAAACTATGGCAGATACTGACTGGCAATCAGTGGCCATTTTTCCACATATTTTATTCATTGAATGTCTGTGTTCAATAACTGGCGTATCTGTAAAGTTGGGTTTGTGTTGAATTAGAGGTCACAGATTACTTGATGGTATAATATCACCACGTTATATGTACAAACGTATGTCTAGGGCTGTCACATATACTCAGTTAAAAACCATTTAGTTGCTAAAAAATGAATTGATCACAACAAACCTTTTCAAAAAATCGGGTTAGTGGTTAGTTTGCTGTTTTAATGCTAAGCGGGGTATCTACAGGCCATAAGAGTCATGCTTGGCAAATTTCTCCATGAGGGGGAGCTGTTACAACTCAAGTGAGCTTGACTGAAAAAGAGGAAACCCACACCAGCAGGACCTCACTAATGCACGTATGCTTGTAGTTATAAATGTCATGCATATGAGGTGAAATGAAATGGCTGCTCCAACAATATTCACTTAAGATTTCTGGAGGGATTCACTGTAAAACTGCAACATGCAAAGTAAAGAATATCACAGCTGAATGTCTTATATAAGCTTCAAATGTCTGCGTTAAAGTAAAGCAAGCCGAGAGAGCATTAAATGTATTAAAAGTAGTAAGCGGGACGTGAACACCTCTGTTACTTATTGTTCACTTAAGCTGTTTTTATTATATTTAAAAAAATAAATAAACCGGCCGTTTACTTAAGCAATCGTTAAAATAATTGCTAGATTACTCTGTTACACATGTATCTGACAGCGATGGCATTGCCATTGCCCAGGAAGCCATAGACTTAGGTAGTAAAAGGCTTAAACAGCAAATGTACTCTAATGGCTGCCTTTTTATTTGTTTATTTAAGGGTTTTATTTATTTGAGTCCTGTGGTTAAAATGATTCCGAATGAAAAAATGTTGGAACAGTCATTTCTGCTTGCCTTGTTGCTCTGGAGCCTGCCAGATACCTTCTTACCAATATGGCATGTGCAAACATATTTATCATGCACAGCATGCTGGGATAAACAGCAGCTATATCCAAAGCCTGCTCTGTGCCGAATGCACACTGTAATGGTGCGACGATGAGGAGATAATCAAATTCTGTGGGTCACATCATGCACTCCCCTGTTCTCCATATTTGCATCTCTCTCACTGTCTCTCTGTCTCTGATTTGCATGTGTCCTCCTGACACCTTTTCTATCCTCTTCCTCTTTCACTTCCTCTCAGATAGCTTTGTACTTCTGCTGGATGTGTCTGGGTCACTGCTCTTACGTCTCTCTGCTTATCTTTTCTCTCTGTGTCAGCGAGGCTTGATGGCTATCAGGTTCATTATGTACCTCTTTGAACTGCCTGATTGGTGAAGCTGATTTGAATAAAACGATCCAGACTGTTTGAATCTGTCCTCATAAGGCCCAAATAGAGTATAATGAAGGATTTGCCCAGTTCCAGTTACAAAATGCCCCACGCATCATTATATATGACATAGGGATGAACAGTTGTGCATTAAGATGATAAATTTATACAGTTTTAATTCAGTAGTTATTTATGACTGTGACTAATACTGGGACCTAAAAATTAAAATGACTAAGGCTTTAGGGTTTTTGTTTTTTGGATATACAAACAAAGATGCCTGTTTAAAACCTGATGGGTTTAATAGAATTTAGTGGGGGTTTTTTTTGAATATTTTCTAACTGAAATTACCGAATTTTCATTATTGCGATCAAGATTTGAAGATAAATCTGTAAATTATTTTGTACATTTTTTTTTTTAGTGTATATATCGGTCATTATTATTATTATTATCGTCATATATCTTGATATCCAATATCCAACAGCCGTACAGAACATCTAATGTTATGTCCGTGTTTAGTTGGGCAAACTGCAGGACAGACAAAATTCAGGGTTCAAGGCTTCTACTGTTTTCAAACATGCCGTTCACAAACTGTGAATAGTTAAGACCCCCTGTTTGGTTTGTGTGTCCGCAGGCTCAGCCGCTTCAGCAGCATGGCTTCCAGACAGGAGACCGACGCAGAGTCTCAGGACCAGTCGGATGGTAAACAGAACAGCTCCGTCTGCTGCACCACTCAAACGCCAGATTCGCTGGAGAGCGGCGCCGGCGACCGGACACAGAAACCCCTGAAAGCCAGCGCCATCCGCTCCGGCTCGGGGTCCATCCCGGAGAGTTTGGACCCAGCGCTGGACCCGTCCTCCCTGCCCCCTCCTGACCCGTCTCTGCAGAACAGCAGCAGCGCAGGGGCGAGCGGCAGCGTGAACGGAGCCGCAGAGCAGCCCGGGGCAGCGGCGGCGTGCCTCAGAGACGGCCACTGGTTCCTCAAACTTCTGCAAGCGGAAACGGGCCGCATGGACGCCTGGTGCCAGCAGATGGAGCAGGAGAGCAAAGAGAAGCAGCTCTCAGAAGAAGGTGAGCTGAGTTTCCAGCAAATTTATTTTTGCAAGAGATGAAATGAAACTACAGCAGAAAAAATGCGCCTTTTGCTTTCCATCGAATTGACTTGTAGCAAGAAAAACATGGTGATGTCACTTCCTGAAGCATTTCTTCTTGCAGAACTTTTTAGCTTTACTGAATAAAAACGTTTGAGTTTCTACCAAGAATTTCAAGGATATTAAATTCTGTAAATGTTTACTTTGGTTTGGCTTTCCTGAAAGTGGGGCAGTGTTGACCAGTATTGAGGCTTGTGTTTTATTTCTTAGGTCATAGGGTCTTTCCCTGCCAACTAACCCAGGGCCTGTCCAGTAAATCATGCATTTCTGTGGAATAAATTCGAGCAAAATCTTCAAAAAAAATTTCACAGCTGTGCTCCAATTAGATGGTTTTCTAAAATGTTTCTAAATTGCATTTATGTTTAACTGCTTACAGAATGACGTAACTGAGCTACATATTACCTGTATATAAATGTAACACTAAGAAACGTATTCACTTTGTACATTTATTTAGCTCTGATTGTGCAGTATTTCATCTTTTGACATGGAATATTTTGGTCAGTTCTCAATTATTTTTGCAAAATTTAGGTATACAATACAGGCTCCCCTGTATTGTGCTTAGTTCAAAAAAGCAGTCCTGGCTAAAACACTCCTTATAACTCCTTATAATGGTAGGAACTACACTGCTGTAGACTGGATAGGTGGATATATGTAGATATGTTGGGGGTTTTTTGTGACATCACAAAAACATTGAATTCAAAGCTGTTTTTGCTGCTTAGTTTCTGTATATGGACTGGGGAGTGAATGGTCCATTTTAAAACTTTAACCTCAAACCTTAACTGATTTTTATATGAAAAGGGCTTTTTAAACTCTTGGGATTTTGTTAGCACAGTCACTGAGCTGATCAACACAAGGCCCTTCTCCATTACTGCTGCATTTGGTCTAGTAAACTGTGCACATCGTGATGGGTTTCAGCAGAACACCATGGATTACATCCTCGATGCAGATTACTGGTTGAATGGGGATATTTTGTTACTTAGCCAAAGACTGGCTAAGACTGGGTTTGCTTAATCTATGTTGAGAAAACCAGCCCTGAGATGCCTTACAGACACTTGGAAAACATTTTTCTAATTTAAAACGAGATGGATCCCCGTTTTGGACTGAATTAGTACATTCATGGCAGCTCTCCACTGAAAAAATCCCGCACAGAGACTCGTTCTAGTCTGTGTCCAGAACAGCGGCCCTTAACGGTAATTGATAGCTTCGGTGCCAACAGCTTAATTAAGCTCCCTAAAACCCAGCGCAGCCGTAGCCGAACGTCAGCTCAGTTCCTTATTTCCTCTGAACTCCCATCTCTCCGGAACCTTTCTGCCATAAAATATACCCCTTACCTTTCAGCGGAGACTGCTGCGGCCGGTTGGGGACAGAGGTTTAATCACTGTAGGTGCTATTTACAGGGCTGTATGAAAAGCCCTGAATAACAGATGAGATCTGACTCTAATGATCAGACTTATTACATAGCTTTAATTAGACATGACTCTCTGTAGGCTGCTATTTTTGGCCTCTACTGGCCTTTGATTAAAACCCGTCAAGCTCTGGACTGGGACATGGAAAAAATCTCATAAAACGCTATTTATACAGCGCTCAGTGAGGTGGGCTGGAGTTGAGGTCTCCATTACAGTGAGTTATAGTTATAATAACTGATTTAAAAGAAATCTAAAAATATTAGTCTAAGACTAGGGGGCCATATTCTACATTTTCCTTGTTTTATTTTTTTCACTGAGGTTCACTTAACGTTTATGTGCTTTTCTTGTGTCAAAATCAGCCATAACTCATTTTTACATGACCATTTTTTCAACCTCTGTTTAGCCCAATTAAACAGGCGGTTTTTGTTACTGTGCCTGTAGTTCACACACATCTTAAAGGGGAATTCAGCCAATTTCTGTATAATTAAACAGGATGGAAACAGTCGTTCGGCGTGGTTTGACGTGAAGTGCTCTTTACTAGAGAAACTAGAGAGAGTCAGAAGTGTTCACAGTGATGGGAACCAGACGTCTGAAGAGTTTAATGCCTCTAAAACCTCCTGCACAGAAAGTTATCACATGAAATAGTCATGAATACTCAGCCTGATGTCTGAGACGTTGTTTTCCGATAGTTTTGAGAAGGTTTTGTCCTAAAACTTTCTTTTTCAGTACATTCATGGTGGAGGGGAACGTGCAGGACAGCAAAATAGTCCCAAAAGGAACTTTTTTTATAGCTGTTTTATCATCAGTATTACATATAAAATCCCATAAGATTCACTGTTCTCTGGTTCAGGGTTTGTATAATAAATCAATGGCTATATTTGGGTTGTTGCCGTTCTGACCCCTGGTTCCTATCAGCACCACTGAACAACTATTTCACATCAAAACACTCTGAATGACTAACAGTTGAGTTATGCATAAAGTCCTTGTTAAAGATATGTGTCCTTTATTTATTAATGTATTCATTTGGTCTTACAGGCACAGGAACAAGTATAACTGCCCTGTACTGTTTGTCCTTCTCCTTCTCACTTCATCATAAATGGGCAGCTAAACTGCTGTAGGCTGAGTGATATGTAAATGGTTGTAATAGCTCAACCAAATTGTGTAAACACTATATTTTACAGTGTTTACAAAGTGCATGAAAATGTTAGAACAGTACAGGCCCTTTAATGTAGGCTTGAGAAAGCAGACCAGGGTGGTGGCAGCAGGTTTGCAGTGCAGCAGCGTCTCTGCCATAAAAGGGTAACGTTTCAGCTTAAGAGTCTCTCACTGTGTGCATGTGTCTGTGTTTGTAGTCCTGGGGAAGATCCGCAGTGCAGTGGGCAGCGCTCAGCTCCTCATGTCTCAGAAATTCCAGCAGTTCAGAGGCCTGTGTGAGCAGAACCTGGTGAGTTAGAGTTTCCCTTTCAAAGAGTCCCTTTAAAGGAAGGGCTCTATATTCTAATGCTGCTAGTGAATGGAGGCTCGTAGGGATGAGTTCAAACTTTACAAGTATCTGAAAAGTCATTGAAGTTTTAAACACTGAATAGTAAGTTAGACCTTTTGATATGCAAGTTAGCTTGTCTCTAGTGTTACACATTGTCATGTTGAAGAACCCAGAGATGTCGGAACTTTATACTCCACCTGAGGGCAGTGTAGAGCCAGCGTCTTACGTTTTGGTCAGAGTTTCCACTCGTAGATTTAATGGAGTAAAATAAGTTACATATCACTGCTGTCGGAACAAAACCATGTCTCCATTTTTCAGCTTTTGACAACATTTGAAAATGCCTGTCGCCCTTTATATTGTGTGTGAATTTCATGATGAATGGACTAAACGAAACGGCCCAAAATGGCTTGGAAGAAAGTCTGGTTCCATTGACTTACACTAAAAGTAAAGTGGGTTTTTTCCTTCTGTAAAGTTACCATTTTGGAGATGCGAGGTTTTGTTCTGAAACAGCGATATATACAGTAAGTTACACTGTGACCAGACTAATATCATTAGCCAAGGTGAAAACAGACAGTTAGCATCTGTCTGTTTATTGGCTGCCCTTTTCATTGTACATTTCAAGCCACATCACCTTCTGTTATGTATCGCAGCAGTAGTGAGATGCTGAGCGGCAGGTGGCGTCTGGTAGAGCTGGTAGTCTTATGCTTTTTTCAAATATGCAAATTAGAATATCACATGTCCATGACTAAAATGCCCATTCCTAGAAGCTGGTAGTGACCGGTCAGCATTGTTATTTTCATAATGTTAATTAGTGGCTGTTTGCTTTCATTCATTATTGGCAACATTGGCATTTAATGAACCACCCATCCCGCATAAAGCCACGGACTCTCTTCTATATGGTCTATTTCATTCAGCTCTTGCTCGTTTAACCCCTTAAGGCTGCTGAAGTGGCTATTTATGCCATTTTAACCATTCTTTTCCATTAATAATGTGATTTCTGTTGCGTTTGTTTGATGTGTGAAGAACATGATCGAACAAAGCTGAAAATTCTGAGTTTTTTTTAATCGCGTTTGTGTCACAAACTACCATTTTAAACAAGAAAACACAGGAATAGGAATAGAAGTGGGTTCATGTGGCTGAGTTACATTCAGTGTGTTTGGTCTCCGTTTTCTTTTAGACATTCTCTGATCTTCATTAAACAAACATGCATGACTCCATATGGCTGTGTCTTCTTTTATAAAACACCTGCCTGATTTTCACAGCGAAGGAAAGCGATAATAACACAATAATACATAGTTTTTATCTAATATTTGTAGAATTGTGTTCACACAGTACGTTTCTCTATTCTTTACCTAATCTTGTGGTCTCAGTGTGTAATACACGTATGGCTGCTCAAAGGCCTGATGGTTTTGGGGTTTAAATGATCACATTCCCACAAAAGCAAACCATAAAGTCAAGAGGCTTAAGCGCAGAGAGCCGTATGTGAGTATATATGGAGCTTCATGAATGCTGGTGTGGTGCTCATGTTTGAGCTGTGTCGGAGCGCCCTCCAGTGGTTCATGCATGCAGCTGAAATGAACTGTACAGGCTGAAATGCTCTAACAGTGACAGAAAGGTAGTGAGTTGAATCTGCAGCATCTCTGTTGCCTTGACAGTTCTTCTCTGACTGGTTGATTAGCTTCATTAATAGTGTATTGGAAGTTTCTGCTTCATACTTTTGCTACATTTGTTGAAAATGCGGCTTTTCAAAGTAAAATCCCTGTGAGGTTATAGATTGAGTGCTATTCAGATATGATCATGATGTTATGATTGAATTTGACAAAACTAATGCAGTTTAAAAAATTTATGGATGCTCTTAGTTTTCTCATTTTGTCATCAAATATCAGCTAAAAACTTAGAAATACTTGTTTGTCCTATAGCTGGTCTAAGTGTCTAAAGCTTGAAGGCTCTAATGACATCTTTACACTGTGTCTCTAATATGTTCCTGTTTAAATTGAGTCTGTTTTGGTGCTGCTCTGAAACAGGATGTGAATGCTCAGCCGCGCCCCACAGCTCAGGACCTGGCTGGATTCTGGGACCTGCTGCAGCTCTCCATAGAGGACATCAGCATGAAGTTCGACGAGCTCCACCTGCTCAAGTCCAACGACTGGAAACTGCCCGAGAGCAGCACCAAAAAGGTACCGCTGAAACTTTTTAGCTTGGCTGTGATTGAACTCAGCTGGGCCTGGCTAAAGCCAGGTTAGTCCATTGACGTGACCGTTTGCTTAAATTAGTGTCCGAACTATGATTGTAAAGAGCAGTCCTTCACTTTTGGCGCCTGTCGTCCACAGGAGGAAAAGAAGCAGCCGACGGCAACAACGCCGAAGAAAGTGCTGAAGCCCAAACCGGCCGCAGCGAAGGAGAAGAGCAGCGGAGAGTCGGCCGCGGACAAGCAGCGCCAGGAGGCCAGGAAGCGGCTGATGGCCGCCAAGCGCGCAGTGTCCGAGCGGCAGAACTCCGCCACGGAGAGCGCCGACAGCATCGAAATCTACGTCCCTGAGGCCCAGACGCGGCTCTGAGACACACACACCCCTACGTCTGCCTCTGAGTGAAGGAACACAGGCCCACATGGACACGCTGCGACACCCATGTGGCGCCTCCTAGAGGCAGAAAGAAGGAGGTGTTTAAACAGAAAGGAGCACAGCAAAAAATAATTTAGAAAAGGAAGAAAAAGCAGACTGTGACAGAAGCCACAGAAGAACCTCCATGCGACGTTTGTTACTGTCTTTGTTCTTGTTATACTAAGTATTATTATAACAAGCTGTAATTATCTCATGGAATATATCGAAACTTTTTTCTTTTGTCTGTAAATTGTGTTAATATCTCGGACGGGGAGGCGACACATCCCTCGTTGCGTGTGTAAGCGTGTATGAGTGTGTGCATTTTAAAGAATCCGAAACCCTTTAGTCACTCCATGCAATTCAAGCCAGCCCCATCAGCTACACTCGTTTTGAATCGGCCACAGAAGCACGCACTCAGGATTCTGCACGTGTGCACTTGTCATTCTTTCATCGACGCAGTCTTCCTCTTCTTTCCCTATTATTATTATTATTATTATTATTATTAGTATTAGTATTAGTATTAGTATTATTATTATTATTTCCTTTGTCAGCCAGTCAGACCTTTTGGGAGTGTGCTTTAGGGCCAGGCATACAACTCAAAGTTGCATTTCAATGAAACGTAGGAATACCTGAATGTTTTTGAAGGATATTTTCATTGTTTCCTCAGTTTGAGGCTTTAGAGCTCTGTAGATTAGCGATACAGAAACGGTACGTCAGATACTTGAAAACTCCTCTAGGACAGGACTATTACAGTACACAGCAGTGGCTTTCACTCCTGGAAAACTTAAGTTCTCAGTCAAGCTCTTATGCTGCGTTTACATGTTGGGGTCGTTCCATTCCTCGCTGCTTTATGCGACCGACAGCAATGCCATGGTTACCGAGGCATCGGTGAGAATGAATTATTATGAGAGGAGAGCTTCAGTGTCGGTTCTTTATTTATGCTCTTTGCTCTTTAAAGGGCCCATATCCTACATTTCTGACTTTATTTTTCCCTCAATTTCCACTTATGACATTTGTGTGGTTTTATGTAGCAAAACCAGTCATTTTTTTATAACTGACCATTTTTCAGCCTCTTAGAACAGTCAATTCTTTTATAACTGACTAATTTAGAATTAAACAGGCTGTTTTTGTTACTGTATCTTTAAAACTGATATGCAAATTGTTGCTTTTTTCCGCCTTTCTTTGGGCCAAAAACCAGAAGTGCCACTTCAGACAGATGTTTTTGGTGGCATGAAATTTCAGTGCATCCCTGAATGAAAATGTGTTGGTTTTCTTGACATCCCAAAAACAGTAGGTTCAAAACAGGCTCTTTTTTTGTCTTAGTTTTCATATATGGACTGTATGGATTAGAGAGGGACCAGTAACAGTAGTGAAACTCTTACATTCTTCGTCGGACTCTTATTTCAAAAAATTGAGGGGAATATTCAGTTTTCTATGATATGGGCTCTTTAAATTTTTTAGCATACAGTACTGGATGCATCTAGGCTACAACGATCCAACTATTCAAAAAAAAGAAAAAAACAAATCAGCACCAGGTGCGGTCGAACGCAAAAGTTGGGAAAACTGACCTTTTGAGGAAATATTCCGATGACTGCTGCCGATGGAGTTTTTCCGCTGCTGCTCCACCCAAAATAACGAAATATCCGGTTCACCGTTGACCGCTTACCGTCATTGTAAACGCAGCATTAGTTTCTCATGAGAGAAAGTAAAGGCTCATACGTCATTCCTGTTTTATGTATTTATTTTTTTTATGCCATGTTTATTTGTACGCAAGTGATTTGAGTGCTTTGTGCACTTAGAACAGTGGGAGATTCTGTGTTTCAGCTGTGAAACATTAGATTTCATGCACTTCGCTCCATTAATGAGTTGCTCAGCCTTGTTATGCACATATACATGTACAAACATGAAGTCTTTAATTTGACTATCCATTTTTTATGACCGGTAAAACAAAGCAGTGATAATCTATGAAAAACAATCGCTCGGATCAACCATTTCTTTACCTTTTTGTAGTTGTAGTTTTTAACGTTTATGTACTTAGTTGACTTTCTGTCTGTTGTCATCCCATGATTTCATGTGTATTTTGTCGCGCTGATTCTCTGCTCTTGTGCTTCATGAATGTAGGTGTGCGAAACTGTTCTTGCCAGTTGAATTGCATGGGCAGTTTTGGCTGAGCTGGATCAGCTGGGTCCCCACAATGCTGAAACATTCCTACATACAGCGGCCCTTCGAGGTCATCCCAGATTTTCTCATTTTTATATTGGATATTAAAAAAGAACACTTACTTTACCTGATATCCTGTGATTGTGGATTGAAGACAAGCCACTCGTTCTAACACGTTACATTATTTTAGTAGCTTAAGTGAAGTTAATGTTGACTTCAGAAGCAGAACATGTCCAGAAACCATTGAGATCAGACCCCAGTCCCTCCCGAAATTGGTGGACAAATCTGTTTATAAGCCATAGCTATAAACTACTTTAAATTTCATCATATTTCAGAACCAAGGCATTCGATTTGCTGTCTTCATAATGGGAATTAGGTAGCTACTGCATGTTATCCATGACTGCTGATACAATTTCATTACTCCGCTAGCTTGCCGTTTAGCAAGCTAAAGACTACCCAGCTCGCAGAAACAAAACAAAGGCAACACACAACGGTTCAAAAACAAATTTTACAGCCAGGCGAAGCAGGTATTCACGTTTGCATGGCTAGCTTTAAACTACGCTGACGATAACCTAGCTGAGGGCACATGCATTCCAGCTGAATAATCCGCTCCTCGCTGACCCCTCCTCCACTTGTCCTGTGAGTGGCCACTTGTGTAATGTAGTTGTGACACACTTCCAAGTGGTGAGTGGAAGTTTGTGAGGGCGTGTTTAAAAAAAAAAGCAGAGGCCTCTGTTTTGTTCGGTAGCGTAACGCTTGCTGTTGGTCAGTCTTTTACACCAGATGTCTTCACTGTGAGTTCGTTATGGTGGTCCATGAGTTAAGTTATTACTGAATGTCATTTCAAAAGCAACAAGAGGCAAACAGGGGTGCACAGTACATCAGCAGCTGATATGTGGTTCACAAATTAATAAGAAAACGTAATTATTATTGGTGTATCGAACTTGCATCCCATCATTTGGCACCATTTTTGCTCACATCTACACTGATGCAGTCACTGCACTTCGTAAATGAGTAATAGGGATGTTTTAAAATGTTAAAAAGCAAAGTTGTCGGGTATCCATAGCAGCCACACCAAGATTATCACTTCATTTTTTTTCTAAATTTCTGCAAATTTCAATGGTTGAGGTGTAAACAGGTTATTCAGGCAGTTTTGATGTGAAATGGTTTATTTGGGTGCTGTTTTGCTGTACAACACCCTGCATGTACTGATCCTCCATGATGTAAAAAACACATTTTAGCCCAAAAGTTTACATAAAACCTATCATAGAACAATATCTCAAATCAGGCAACACCATTTTATGTAATAACTTTGTGAGGAGCTTTTAGGCTCATTAAACTCTTAAGACGTCTGGTTCCCATCAGCACCACTGTGAACAATTCTGACTCTGTACTTTTCTCTATAACAGAGCGTTTCACACAAAATCAGCCTGAATGACTTTGTTCACATCTTGATCATTCAGTTATTCAATTTTGGAAAAATTTAACACTGTTGGCCCTGAAATTCCATGTCAATGTGGGGGAATTCTTAGTGACCTGCTGAAAAAACACTGCTATTCAATACTGATATCTTGACTTCAGTACTGAACACTGACCGATTCTTTTTCAAAAGTGGGTGTGGCTTAAACCAGAAATGAGGTGCTGGATGTGAGTGTATACAGAAGCACTGATGTTAATAGCAGTTATACGGCTTGAACTTCAGCCAGCCAGTCAGCAGTCTAGATTTTGAAATGTATGTTTATTGGCTCATTGATGCTGATAAGACAGTCTGACTGCTTAGATGTTGAAATTTGGTATCAAATGACATGGGATTTTATTGGGAACTTACAAAAACTGAATTTTGCCCGTATCGGTAAAATTCAAGATGCAAATTTATATATATTATATATGTTAGGACCATTAGAGACTTAGAAAACAGCAGTCAAAGTCCCACCTTTTACAAAGACATCTTCATACTCACACTCATCTTCATACTTCATACATGTCCACTCCTGCCAGAGCTCCTCTAGAACACTTCATAAGGTAGAGGTAGAGCTGGACTGAGAAGAAGACGAGAATGTTTTAATAGGAATGTCGCCGATTTTCAGCTCATTTTGAAAAAGTAGATGCCCAGAAAAGACTAATTTTAGTGATCTTAACAACAAATCCTTACAAAAAATGTAAAGTAATTTTGTAATGATTTAAATGTGAAGTAATTTTCCGTTTGTACTTTAAATTGAAGTTTTGTGTGTAAATTTGCAGACAGCCTTTTACAGAAAGAGCAGTATGGTTCCACTCAGCATTGATGGCTTCAAACAGCTGAAAAACACTGCCGAGCTAGTTTTTGTTTAACGTGAGACCAAATATTCTCCATAGCGTTTAGATCTGGACTCTGACCAACCAAAACCAGCAGTAAAAATCATCAGTGTTTTGGGCTTTGCCCATTTATTTTGCATGGGAATGTATATATAAAAAAAATACTGATAATAAACAAATTTCCTCATGAGTAGGTTATGGGGAAGTCAGGGAAGCCGAAGGTCCACAAGTTGCAACATACATGAAGTTAAAAAATGGAAACATCAAATACAATTTTTTCTCTATTGATCAACCAAAAGTTATCCAATGACGTTTTTTTTCTGCAGGAAATGATCTCGTTACTTAAAGGATTTAATTGCTTGATAAAAACAAGCTGCTGGGCAGCAAAAAAAAAATGAATTTTTAAAATATTCTTTCATTTTGTCGCTTGCAGTTTGCACAGAATGTGGAAACACAGCTAATGAGTTTGCTCCATCTGGCAAAAACCTCTGCAGGAGGAACCAAATGGTCATAAAAATGGACAGTAAACATGATTTAAACTTGAATTATTTAGCAAGACCAACCGTAGAGGAGCCTTGGGAGATTTCATACGGCTTCAGTGGCAAATCCATATAAATAATGTGGAGTCTTCTGTTTGTTCAGCATTACATCACCTGATATTTTGGTTGAAATGTCCATCAAGATCACTGCTAGTTTAGGGCCGCCATGTCTACAATTGAAATTCATTGAAACATTGCCTTTGGTTACGCCTTCTTCATCGAGTCTAGCCAGAGTTTTCTGTAAAATTAGTGTAGTTTGAGTCCATTAAATCAAAAAATTGGGCCTCGTTCACCAGCTGAACACCAAATTCCTACACAATTATCACAAAGACTCACCACTGTTTTCTTATTTGGGATTTGTTTCTTAGGTAAGAATAGAATCTACTGAAGAGCACAAAGCTGCGAACAGTTCTGCGGTTTAAGAACACGTCATGAATCTGATGCAGACTTTTTCTTACATTTCTCAAGAACACATTTAAGTAAAAACTTAGGAAGATACTGGTGAATGAGACCCATTGTTAGGCCTTCCAGTCGTCAGGTGGTCATCAGCAACTGGGAACTTGATCACATGAATAATTTGTGGCTTGCAGAATCATTAAATTGGTATATTGTTTGCTAGCTTGGTTTACTGGATGTATTGGCATGTGCATGCATCACAACTCATAAACTGGAGGAACTTGTGAGAGTTTGCCGCTCTTATTTACAACATTGTCAGCTGTTTAAGTACAATTTTCTTGTAAAATTAGAAATTAAGGACCATCCAAGTGCGCCATTAATCAGAACTCTGGTGCTGTAAGAACAAGACCACCAAACAAGATGGCGGACTGCTTGAGAAGCAGTTTTTAAAGCAGGAAAAAGACTTTTACCTGACTAGCTATGCATTGTTTCTGGCTGTTTCTCTCGCCTGAAGATGAGAAACTGGTAGAATTCAGCATTGTTTGAAACATGTTTGAAATGGTAGTCTATGATTAAAATGGCCTTCAGACCCATATTGGGGCCTCCTACTTGCAACAATGTAAAGATCCATGACCCCCCCCAATCCTTAGAAGTCTGGAGTTACTATTGTTTTGCTATATGTTTGGTTTAAGTTGCATAATTATTCAAATGTACTTCTTTTGTTTCAATGTGAAAAATGACAGTTTGCAAAAAGGTAAAGAACAACCGGAACTTTGTCAAATTTGAATTGTAAAATATCTCCGACACAGTGGAACTGATTATAAACATTTAAAATCTGCACTTTCAGCAGAATTCCTGCACTTTTTCACTGAGCTGTGAGTTATTGCCGGCGATAACTGCGACATCTAAAGGCTAAAACACCTAATTCATCGTCTAGAAAGAGTAATTAGATTCTTAGTTAACGTTACTATCGTACAGGCCAGTGAAAGAAAGTGATGGAGGGCATGTCCATCATTCAGTCACTGAGTTTCACTGTGCTGTGACATAGTTACAAGTGAACTAGCTAGCAAACTTCATCACATGTGGCTCATATTGGAGACAATATGAGCGGCACCCACATTTCAGATTTATCCTACAGTTCTTTTCTCCCCTTTTTGTACTGTAGAGTGAAATAAGCATTAGCTGTAAGGTGTGGTCACTTTACGGATGTGTATAGTTCTGTTGGATTGTAATACGCTGCCCACAGAAAGGACGTGTTTCACTGTCCAGAGAAATATTAAACTTTTTGTTTTTTACGTACAATCTTTTTGTCATCGTCATTCTGACATGTTTTTACTCTTTTGGGTTGTGTGAAGTCATTAACTTCCTTCATTTGCATGAAAGCATTGCTTGATAACAATGCAACACCAATTCATTTCAACATGGAAGACCACATAATGAAGCTGGGCAACTACAAAACACGAGGATTGGGTGAATTTCAGTCAGTTTCGTTCTCGTGTGCTGCAGAAAACCTCCGCTTGGAGCACTTTTGTGAGTATTAAAATTGATGTACCCTCTCAGTTTAACTGGTGGTGATACCAGCCAGCTATCTTACGTTAGCCACCCAGAGTGTGGTGTGATTATCAGCTAATAGGGTGATTTGGTTAGCTAAAACGTGGCAGCCATCTTGAAGCCTGACTTTTATCCACTTTTGTCCATGTTTGGAGAAAAGAGTGTCATAAAGTGTCAGAAAATACATAAGCAAGTCTGTTACAGAGTAAGTACTGCAGTTAGCATGATGCTAATTTGTGTGGTATAAGCCTCCTTTGCTTGTTAGCTACATTAGCCTTGTAGCTCCGGTGCAAAACTAAAGAAACTCAAGTTTGGACACCAAACATGTCTCGACAGGTCGGCTACACTGGAACCTTATTCAGTTTTCAGGTTGAAAGCTTGGACATTACGTTGCCCACTATCAATGTTTATTTTTTGTAGCCTATTTAGTTCTTGCAACATCATTAAGTTGATATAATCAGACTGAAATATAACAGGATTTACTGAGATTTCACCAGTCTCACTCTCATCTCACCAACTTCTACAGGTTTTGCACTGATTGGTTTACAACAAATGTCTGGACTAATCACTGGCCATATTAACAGCTACACTGTTAATGATCCAGCATGTACAGTTCTAGGATGGAACCTTTATATTGTGTGAAGGTTCTATAAACTTCTCCACACTTGCACATTGCATTTACAAGTACAATTCTTTATAGAACCATCCACTGAAAGGATGGAACAAAAATTAGTTCTTCTATAGCTTCACTCCTGAGAACCCTTTTCGGTACCCTTATTTTAAGAGTGTACTGTACTCACTGCCTTGTGCTTAATTCAGTTTTTTTTTTAGCTTGGTCTCTCCAACATGGTCACCGACTTTTACTTCATGTTTTTCTTAATTTATCAGCCTCATGTGATCTTAACAGGGTTTAGATTAGGAACTTTGTTCCACCACTGTCCATTTTGGGCTGGACTGCAGCACAGTTTGGAGAGTTCCCTGCTCAATGGCACTTGCTAAACCTGGTAACTGACTTCTGAGCTGAATTAGGGCTGTTTGAGAACCAAACTGTGCAGGTATCCCCACCCCGGTTCCCCACCCCGATCTATCACATTTTAACAGAGTTTTGAAAACGGTCACAAAAGTCAGCCATTAATCCACGCAAGACATTTCATATCTGCTTCATAGTCACCATCTGAAACCTGGAATTTGAGGAATTGAACCCCAGTGATAAGGAACAAAGCAGGCAGTCGGGGTGTCAGTCTCAAGTACTATTCAGACGGGATTCATTTTGCATGGGGAGGTGGGGCAATGCAATTTTACCACAGGACATCTGCAATGTTTATAACCAATTTGCATGGTCTTGGTATAAATTACAGAGATAGGAGTGGCTACTCAATTTATGTAAGACTGTCAAGCCAAAAAAGGGGTAGAAACCATGTCAAAGCAGTTGATTTAGCTGTTATTTTGTTTCCCCGAAGCGTCTACTTAGCTGTCTTAGGTGAATGGCATTAGCTTGAGAATTTACAGTCGACCTTTTTGTCTGTTATTTTACATGTTCAGAGTCATACACTTGACTCAAGTGACATGAGGCAGGACAATACATATCAGCAAAAAGGATAGAAGCAAATGCTTCCTTGAATGTCATTCATTTTTAAGAAATATCTTTTTCCACAGGATGGAATAGCATTCTTACTGCCATGTCAAAACATCTGTAACAATGTCAGTAAAATTCACTGACATTGTGAATTTGGATGGGACTAAAGTCACTGAGAACCACAGAAAAAAATGAGATTACCCTACCTCCTCAGTAAAGGTAATCCCGTCTGGATAGTTCTTACATCAGGTGTGTTCAGCCTGGTCCTGGAGAACCGATGTCTGGCTGGGTTTGGTGATTTCCCTCTTCTGTTGATTGGCTGGTTTAATGGGGGCAAGAATACACTGTTATTTGCTTCTACCATCTTTTTAAATGTGAAGCACCTCATTGACTTGGCCTGTAAATCACTCACTCACTCACATTAAGCAGGCTGAAGATTCTCCACAAGGGGGCAGTCAAATAGTTTTCGATGCTTCATAAGAGCTGCGCTTCACATCAATGAAAACTGTCCTTGTTTTAATGTGTGTAACTATATTGTTAGGGATTCTTGTCTTGTCACCAAAGCTGTACCAACTTCAGTTACTCCCATTTATCACAGCAAACATGCTTATAGTAACACTGTGGAATCTACGTCAAAATCATGTTAGCATTCATGATCCTGTATCCTTTTCGTTTGTCTTTCTCAGAAACTGGATATGCATGTTTGTGTGCGTGGCATTTAATCATTCTTGACTCTTCTTTTCTTGGCCTGTCTGACATGATGTTCTATATTTTTTACCAAACTTTAGCACAACATTTGAGAACCTTGCATGGTATAGCAATATCTCTAAAACTCTTTCAGTACCTTTGTTCCCTTGGATTATACCTTCGGTCTCGACCTTTTTTTGCGATGGAGCGTCCACCATCAGCTCACCAAAAGTTAATAGGGCTACAGCTTGCATTGACTCAATGATGGAGGAAATGACTCCGAGGCTTTTCAGCACATGTTTGGAGCTGCTTTTTTATAGCTGTTCTAGAGGAACATTCGGACGCTGTCCGCTCCCTCGAACAACAACTGGACACAAGGCAATGACGAACCCTTTGCCTCATGTAACTCATCGACGAAGGTTTCTTTGGACACTGACTCTTTCCAAGCTAGGCTAGTGGGAGTCAGGTTGAAACTTTTGGGACTTTTGGAACTTTAGTTACCTTGGCGATTTTATGGACGGTCCACTGTCTTCCCAACTCCGGACACATATTCATGAAGTCTGCTTTAAGTGTGTCAGAACTCCAGAAATCCAGCAAAATTCCCAGAATACTCCAGCATTTTTCAACTAATTGCTGGATCTGTACACACAGTTGATTACCATGGATGGACATTTCAGTGTGTTTCCCAGGAAAGAACTGAAATCCCATTAACTCAAAGCACAATTATAGTAGAAGCAAATGACCCTCCTGTGAAGAGATGGGTTTAGGGGTGGGTGATATGGCAAAAATATAACATCGCAATATTTTTTCACAATATTCAACATGATATTTTGTTAAGGTTTGATAAATTGGAGCAGAGAGTTATGAATCAGTAGTGCCACATTTAACAAAATGCCATCAAAAACTGCGAACACAGTTATTTTTACTTAGCATTTCCCCCACCACACCTCAATAAATCCAGTTAAACAGGACCAGTTATTAGTGCTGGCCCAAACAGCAGTTTATAGGCTTCAAATACTCATTGGTATTCACAAAATCACCCTTATAAACAATAATATTTACCTTTCATAATTAACCATAATTTAAAGTTTTTGCAGTTCAAAATATGTCCAGAAGGTGGCAACAGCTAAAGAAAACCTGGCATGAATTTATGTTGTATTCAACCAAACCTGCAGTAATTTATTTATTTCATTTTCCATATCGCTGCTGTCAGAATAAAACCTCGTATTTTTTCGTTTTTCAGTTTTTGACGTAATTTGAAAATTCCTGTTCTCCTTCATACTGAGCATAAATTTCATGATGAATGGACCAAAAGAAACGGCCTAAAATTACTTGGAAAAAAGTCTGGTTCTATTGACATACATTAAAAGTAAAGTAGATTTTTTCCTTCTCCTGTAAAGTTATCGTTTTGGAGAGGTTTTCTTCTGACAGCAGTGATATATTAACAATAACTGTTCTTTCTAAAGGCCTGTGCAGATGAAACATGCTGTAGTTTAGGCTCAGATTTTTGTGGCTTTGACGTTTCCGAATGCTAATAATTGATCCGAAATTGATAATTGAATTGATAATTGAATACCAACATAACAAACGAATACCCAAGTATTCTAAATATTTAGGCCGGCCTTATTAGTTCTGCTCTCTTTATAATGAGACATATAGTTGTTCAGGTGTTCGTATTAACGATATCCCTAGTATCGTCACTGTTGCAGAAGATCCGTTTTTTTATATAATTTGTAAACTCATTGTGTATCATGTCAAAATTTCATGAGGAACCAACAGAAATGGGCCAAAATTGTATGGAAAAATATCTTGTTCCATTAACTTCCATTACAAATTAAAAACGTTTTTTCCAAATTTCCAATTTTAGAGTTAAAAAGTTTTGTTCCTGACATTGTGTAATGTAATGTGATGTAATTTATCACAGTAACGATAAATATTGTCATATTGCCCACCCCTAGGTGGCACTAGTTTTCTAGAGGGAAGAATTTATGTTAATCCATTACCAGTGTAGTGATGTGGGCGGAGTTTGTGTTGGTCCAGTGTTCAGTAGTGTTCAACAGTAGCAGCTGCCCACTGACTTCTATTAAGCGACTTTGAGTCAGTGGGTTTTCTGTTCTTTTCTAAGCAAAGGGAGACGCATTGAAATGATTGTCTTTGGTGAGTGACAGTAGAGTACAGATGAAGCTGACAGGGATTGAGTTGAAAAATGCTGGAGAAGTCCTTTTAACCCCACAGTGTCAAATTAATCCACACAGTGCCCAGCTGGACTTCAACACTGGAGACTGTGCTGAGATTTAAAGGGCCAGTTCATTGTTTTCCTTCACTACCACACCCATTTCAGCTCATAAAGGCCTTGACGCTAAGCTGATATGGTGAATCGGGTGTGTGTTAAAGTGGGGAAACAAACACTAAACGGCTGCAAGAACACTGATCTCAGATTTGTTTTGCTTTGTAGCACAGATTGAATGCATAGAGGCGTCTGATCCCA